GCTTTTCCGTAGAACACTTCGTAGTTTGCCGCTGTCGGTTGCTAGGAAATCTCACAGAAGACAAGTTCAGATCCTCTTCCACGACCCAGTCATCCAGACGCTTGTCAACTGCGATCCATTTACTGTAAATTAATTCATTTGCACAGTTCATCACACATACTTACATTGCAAAAAGTGCACATAGTACTGGCGCTTGCCTCCCTCTGTTTTTATGCTCAAAATGTCTGCCGTCTTCCACATTCCAGTCGCTTCCATACGCACAGACAGAGTGCAGCCTTCTTCCAACTGCGCCTGAGGATCCAGAAGAGAATATTTATATGGAAAGTATCTAGCGATATCTCCACTTACCGCGGATTTGCAGACAAAGGAAGTTCGTATTTTACTCATCCTGCTTATATCAATTATTTACTTGGGCGGCCAAATATGGGTCAACTTTGAGAACTGTTTTTTTTTGTTCGGCAACGTGGATCGCCAGGGCTGCCGTATGGCCGCAGTCGAAAGTAGCCTGCCGTATATCGATAGAAATCTGCTAAATACCCACGTTACGTAATATGAAATGGATACTGGCCTAAAACACCTTTTAAAAATTAATATTCATTCCTCTGCAACGGTTTGTAATCATTTTATTTCTATTTGTGTAGAACTACCTGCCGACTCTATGCGATATATATCGATAAGAAACAAGCTTAAGAGATAATTTCCATATTTTTGACAGTTTTATTAGTTCAACTATTAAAACCATTGATTAAAAGCCAAATTGACTTTAATTGCTCCTCTGGTTTAATTGTATACCTTAACTTAACTAAGTGGCAATATTGCTGACTTCGATCGATTTTGGTGTACGGTAACACAGTCATCACATGTGGTTTTAATGCACATTTCATTTTTAATTCGGAGCGAGTTTAATCATCGTTAATCGCTTGTTAGTTATTTCAAATTTGCTAACATCGGATCGTCAAGTATCAAGTTTTGGTTAAATTGTTTAAACGCATAGTTTATTCCCTTCTACAACTGTTGTGATAGCCTGCCTATGCGTACATACAATATGTACACACATACATACATAAATAAGTATGCCAACCGAAATAAGTTTCCATGTGCTTTTTTTTTGGTTATAGATTTAAGTTCGCATTATCTGTAGTAGATCAGTGTACATATCCCTCTTAACCAGAATTTGCATATGTAAGTGAATTGGCGTGTCAGTTTGAATTCTGCATTTTGGACGGCTGTTGTGATATATTGGAAAACGGACAGGAAACAACGCCACGCACAACAAAAAGGAACAGCTTGGTAAATACTAAAACTTGTATGCATGAAACCCTTTTAAATTCCCCTCCAAAAGGGGCCACCCCCTGCAGAGCCACACACACATGAACAGCCATGAAAATCAAACAAATGGCAAAGTTAAATTTAAAAATAATAGAAAAACTTTGTACAGTCACTCCTGGCAAACAATAACCCTTACAATAATAGAAACAAAAACAACAAGTGTACAACAATTGCAACAACAAACAACAATAACAATAACGCAACTAAAATGAAACTATTTCGAGTGAAATAAATCTGTTGGAATGTGCAAAACTCCTCCCAAGCGCATTGCGGCGGGCATTTTTTTTGGAAGGGACTGTGCAGTCCAAGTTAGAGTGAGTGAGAAAGCGAGTGAGTGAAGAGTCTTGCAAGGTATATCAATACAATGTGACGCACTTCCAGAGATTAGAGTCGACCACATATATTTAATAAATAGCGTTTAAACACTCGCGCTTTAGCTTCGTACAAAAACGTACGAGAGATTGATTAAACAATATCCACCTCGAAAGGCGCGAATACGTAACCTTGCTTAAAACATACCGCCAATTCTGTGCGCCTCCATTGCCGTCGTTCTGAATAAGTTGTTGGTGGAGTGGGCAAGGGCAAGCAGAGAGTAGTCGTCTCGATGGAAAGGATTGCACGTCGTGTGGTGAGTGTGAGAGAGATAGAGGAAAGAAGTTCGAAAAGATTTCTAGCGCTGGGGTGGGTGGCGTCTACAACTGGAAGTGGAATCATTTTTACTGCCAAATGTGTTTGTTGCTCAATTTAACTAAAAGTGCTGCCAACTCCCCCTGTCTCTTTCGCTTCCCCTTAGCCTTGCATTTTCGAATGGTTTGTGCGGGGAGAGGGAGCAGAAGGAGCTGAAAGCGACCGAATGGTCAGAGAAAGAAAACACGAAACCGAAACGAACGGTACTTGTCAATGCTGGAGGAGGAGTGAGGAGGGCAAAGCTAACGTTTGGTTCCAGCACATTGTGATCTTTGGATAACTGTAATTGGTGAGGGGGGAAGAGAAGAAGAAAGATTACACTACTCGACATAATCTAACTTTTTTTTTTCCTCATGGAACCAAACCGACTATTTCTGATCTGATATACAATTATTATTGGTTGCTACATTGGTGACTATCTGCAGAGCCATAATCTTGAAGAGGCGCGTTGTTTCTTGTTAGATGGTGTTCTTCGATGTGCATAAATACATACATACATACATACATCCGCCGGCGAGCTATTTAACATTATGTAAATATATGCATGTATACATGTGCAGTAATTTCCAGACAAACTTCAGACCGTCATCCTGGACAGTCAACCTTATTTTAAGTACTTTGAGTTACAATCTCGACCTAAGATGACGGGATGTTGTATGGAAATACTTTCCGTCTCTCTTTTGTTTTATTGATCCATATCTAATTCTCATACTCATATTCTATCAAATCTGCTTTCAGCGTTTATTTGAATTGGGAAAATAGGCTTCGGAAAAATCACGCAAGCGAAATAACCGCTGCAAAGAGGAAAATACTTTAAATACTAACAGTGATGAGGATAGTTCGAATAAACTTAATATTTCTATATTCTGTTCTTATTAATAACTATTAGTAATGACTTTTTTGATAAGACAAACTTTTTGTTGGTCTCTAAACTGAGTGCCACATCGTGACATAAATTTCATGAAATTCATTTCAATATATACTACATATCCTAACATTCATATGCATACGTGTATGGATATTTATTAAAAGGCATTGTTTGCCCATTTTCGACGCTGTTGTCTATTTATTTGCCGCCTTCCGTTTGGTTATTGTGTTTATTCGAAACTTTCCTTTTTTTTCTTTAATTGTTTTGTTTCTGTTTTTAGTGATTTGAAATCGATGCATAAATAATGGTTTCTGCCAACGGCTCTGGTTTCCCCTTATTTCAACATTCTGGTTGCGGCCTGTTCTACATCGGTGAAGAGCTAACCACCGTACAGTGCGCTTCAAAAGCGAAGAGACGGTTGCAAAACAAAATGATTTCTTGGAGCTGCTTAAAGAATTTTAAATTAAGCTGGAGCTTTAAATGCTGTTGAATGGTAAGACAACATAGTCCTGCTCTACTTCAGCTATCCCTACAGCGATGGAACGCACTGTAATGCTCACGGAACAAGCGGAAAATCAGTGAAATATGACAAACTTTTTCAATTGCACAATATACGAGCATACATTTTATACAATAAACAGGGCACAAAACAAACAGGCAACAAAAAACAAATGGAAATAGGAAAAGCAAGAGAGAAACTTTTGCAAATCAAAAATCAGTAGGCGGCCAAAGGGAAGGGTGCGAAAGATCGTGAAAGTTTTTGTTTTTTTGGTGCTGCTTTCGTGACGTTTGCCAATTGCTAAATTCTCGATGCCAATGACAATCGCCGGGAAGAGCAGGGAGCAGGTTGCAAAGACCAAGGACCCGGCACACAACAAGGTGATGGCACGCCCATTTAGCCCGATATCTGAGTGTGAGTTCCCCGGTTCAACGCCCCCGGCAGAGATATAGAGGCGGCATGGGAACGGGTCTCCACGAGGACAACAACAACGTTTACGTGACTTGTTTCATAAACAAACAGAAGGCGGAGAAAATTGGCACAAAATTGCCAATCCTTTTTGTCGGCCAAGCATTGGGTATGAGTGTGTGGCGCAGGTGGTGCCTGCCACATGTCCTGGCCTGACATTGAGCGGCGTGAAAATTTCGTCCTCCATTGGCGCTTTTGCATACAACTTGGTAATTGTTTCCACCAACAATTTCTGCAGCTGCAGATGCTCCTCCTTTTGGCCATTAAAATCATTCAAGAGTCATGGGCAGATGCGCATGAGAAATTGGAATCCAAATATAACAGAACGGATCAGGACATTCCGGGCAGATCAGCATATTCAGGACAGGCCAGTGAAGGACACACCACGTCCATTGTCTTGTGGAAGTCAACCCGTTTGGCCGACATAGCTGTCAGCCCTCTCTAAATGAGACATGAAAGTTTTCTCATTATGCCACACACTGGTCCTCTCTCCCCCACCTTGTGAGCTTCAAGCAATGCTGTGATCGATTATGCGACTAGAGGATACCTCAGGGAGGATATAACGAGTGCCTTTTACTTAAGCAGACCGCAGCAGAAGAACAGAAATTGATTACAACATTTCCAGCGACATCACCTGTCACTAACGCATACACGACTACTGCATACCCTTTTAATCTGTCAAATACCGCGCATTAAAAAGAAAGTTGACGCCACTTTGCTTAACATACAAAAGGGGGTATGCGTGGGGAAAGGATGCCTGCTGCGCGGCTGGTGCGTGTTGCAAGTTGTCCATGCAACCCATAGACAGGTGAATCAAGTTTTCGTTCCCTGAAAGAAAATTTTGCGTAAGGCAAAAGTTTTCCATGCATATTCAACATCATTAGAAAGTCAGGACAAAGTAGCTGAAGGCAGCAGCAGGGCAACGCAAGACATGGGCAGGCCTTCTTCACGTCTCCAGGGATAGTAAAACAAACCCGTTTAAGGCGCTAAAATGTCGACTATAAATTCTGTCATACGTAGAGGCTACCTTTCTGAACGAAGCTGTCTTGAATGCACTCGCTGATAGGATTTGGCACGAGAGCTCTCTCATGTGCAGTTGTTGAAAGGCGCTCTAATTGCATTGCAACCTAATTGATTTAAATTCTTCAATTGCGCAGCTTTGATTGAGGTTTAATCGGACTTAACTTTGGAAGTGGGCTAGCATATTTTTGTCAAGTGTTTTATCTGATTTTGTAATTGTAAGATTGTTAGCCTCAAAGTGTTATTGCTTTATTCGCCTCCCGTTTCTGCCCAACTTCCCGTATAATCTCGGTTTTTAAGCGCTTTTTCTATCTGATCATGTGTCAAGGGCTTTTACATGATGCTGCAGCGTCGTTTGAGCCCAGCAGGGATCTTGATGAAACGCCGAATACCTTTAGCTGCCTTAGGGGGTTCCTGTACTTCCTCCACATCGTCCCCTTGTTCCTGCTCCAGCTTCTGCTGCGTATCCCCATGTAGGCGCTTTGCCATCAATGGCTTTACTTTGTCTCGAGAAACCTCAACGTTTTCGATTTGCGTTGGTTGCATCGGCTCTGTTAATATCTGATCCTGAACCTGGATCTGATGAGGTAGCTGCTGTTGTAAGCTGCTCTCACGCCAAATGCCATCGTATCGTGGTCCACACGATATGTTCTGCGGACTGCCAATAATGCTCCATGGCGAATAGCAGGAAACTGCAGATCAATGGAATAGTTTTAATCGGAGCTCTGTATTATGATGATGATGAGGCCTAAAACTTACATTCCTGTATTTTCTCAGCAATTATGTGATTTGTGACGCCTGGCACAAATTCAGCAGCAAACGGATTGAGCCGTTTGGTCTGGCTTGTGCGATTGTCTTCTGGGGCAGCCAGTGCTGGCTCAGCGCGACTTGGAGTTGGTGCCCCAAGTCCAAGCAAAGTGCTACTGCAACAGGGGGCCTCGTCGGCTGCCCCGGTCTTCTCATCGAATGTTTCCCAAGGGCGGTTGTCTCCAGCGGAACGGATTTCACCGACTGTCGATGGAAATTCTCCTCTGGAAACTTCCCCGCCTTCCACGCGTTTGATTTCGTTGGACATCTTTTAAATATTACAATGAAACTATTTTTGCTCTACGATTTCCGATTCTGATTTTACTTTTTTGTTTAAAGCCTTACACCTACGATCGAATCTAATGTCTGGGCCTACTTTGTGCTATGGATAGTCCATGTCTGAATTTTAGGCTGAGAAAAACTTACTTTTAGGATATGTTTTGACATAAAACTTGCCAACTTTGTCACAAATGTAAGCTGTTCTTTCAGCACTACTTGAGACACAGCCAGCAATATTGTTTCTAAAAAGCATAATCTCTGTTTTTGTAGCTGGTCAGTTGGCAAAGTCTTAAACCAATCAGAGGCTCCAATTAAAAAGTATTTAAAGGTTAATTTACCTTTATACAAATCCATTATATCCAGCTTACTTCATTAATCAAATTTCATGTTCAATTTGGAGAGACAAAAACTTGCGTCTCATGTGCAAATATTCTGTTTATTCTACTTGTAGGAATTGCCGTGCAGTGGAATTTCCGCATGCATATTTACAGAATATTCATTTAATTTGATTTATAAATTGTTGGTTGAACTGTCACTTTTGCCTTAGAGCTGCACTGGGCGAGCGACATTTCACAAATCAAATTTGACAAGAATTTTAATTAAATACTACAACTTACAACAATTTTAATAAGCCGTATAAATAAATTAGATTACTCGTTCCTATACTAACCCCTGAAATCCTCACGTTGTGTGTGTGTGTGTTGTGGGCGTTTTTGTGGGGCAAATTTAATTTTGTGAAAGCCGCAAATTGGCAAATATTTTCATTTTGGGGTTGAATAGAGAGTTGCAGAACTTTCGGATGTATTCTCAGTGGATTTTAATTGATTTGCGCTCAAAATTTATTGATTTCATTTTGTCAACAGTTGTTGCCAGTCGCCGCCGAACCGCAGAGAACCACAGCCCCAGACCTCAGACCAAACTTGAGCTCGTACCTCCGTGCCGCTGTTAAATATATGAATTTATTGCACCATGTAAATTTACAGAAAACGAGGGTATGTTGTGCCTATGAAAATGTTTGTAATAGCTAGAAAGAAGTTGGTTGTTTGATTTGCTAATACAAAATAAATCAAAAGATTAGAGCGTGTTTCTCATACCCTTTATCCATAGATATCTAAATCCTCACACGCCGCACCTGATTAGCAAGTATCTCAGCGTCGCAACACTCTCACATGCAAAGCACTCTCTCTTCTTGAATTTATTCCATATGTGTGTGCGCTAATTTGCATGTGCGGGTGTGTTAAAACATAAATTAGTTGACCCTGCCACGCCCCCACACTCCACAGAAAGAAAGGTTGCCCCACGCGACTTAGTCAGTCGTTGGCCATTTGCTTAATTTATGGCCAATGGATTGCATTTGCGCATAGAATCGAGAACTAATAGCGGTTTTCACTGTTTTTAGTTAATTGCACAAATTACTTGCGCTAATTTATTGGCCAGCCCTTGAATGGCCATTTTGTGGGTAGCAGCTCTCGTACATATATAAAAAGTGTGTGCCTGCTGGCTTAACTGGAGATCGGGGGATATTTTAATTGAAATTGTAGGGAAAATGTGCACAAATATATTAAAAAGGGATCAAAGACAAAGTGGTGTAATGGGGAAGTGTAAAATGTTTGCTTAAAGTTTTAATTGTTGAATGGAGAGCTTGAAAGATCATGCACAAAAGCTAATCAAATTCATAAGTTGCCAGCGACTCTTGCCTTCTCAAATGAGATTTATTTATGTCTTCCATTCAATCAAATGCAAGCCCCTTTTCCAGGGAGGTCAACTGATTTCCGTACGGCTAGGAGAATATCAATTAAAGCGGCACAAAAAGATGGCTACAGCATAATGACGGCTTTTGTTTTCATCAATTTCACTTTGGCAGTCATTTTCAGTCATTCATTCTGCTCTGCTCCAGTCTGCTAGTCTGCTGGCAAGTCTGTCTGTTGGTCCATCTGCCTGACAGTCTGGGTGAGGGTGTCTGCCTGCTTGCCTGCCTGTCCCCTTGCCCGCTGTTGCCGTTGATTTTATATATTCAAATTAGTTCGTTTTGCACGAGTGGCACTCGAATGAAAGCGTCGTACTGCTGTGATATTTTCTCAACTACGGCTGACTGACCACCAACCAACCAACCAACCAACCGACACCAACCCCAACCTGAATCAATTCAATCCGTCCCCGGAGTGGGCTCATTGCTGGAATCCAGAGAGAGAGTGGGGAAAGAGGGCTATCAAGTTGCCTGTGAAGTGCTTATCCTCAAATCAGTGACACTTGAATGTGCAGCACAAGTGACTGACCAAGTGGGTGACTGACTCGGTCTAGGACTACGACTACGAATAGACGAATGGGGCAGGGTCTACGACTGCTATTGGGTAAACTTCCATTCAGAGTGCGAAGACTTCGTTTCATCTATTTACTGTGCCATTGCCATGGCCAACAGTAGAGCTGAAACTGAAACTGGCCAACAACTGAAGTGTTGTTTGTGTCCCCTGATTGAGTATAACTAAATAAAGTTCCCGCTTGTCCTCCGCTTGTCCTACTCATCTGCTCGTCTCTTGTCTAGTGATGTATTTATCCCGAATCATACTCCAGATGGTGCTGCTTTCTAATAGGTCATAATCATATCTAAATTGTTATAAATTCTTCCAACATTTTTCATTACCACAAAAACCTCTCTTCCGCTCTATAGATTTCATAGCGTTTGGCCTAATCTGACTGCATTCGAGTAACCCTTTCGATCTAAAATTTGATAAATCGAAATTACATTCAGTGGCGGAATAGAAGCGCAATGCGCAGCATTTTTAAGCCTGCCACCTAACATTGATGGGGCACGATACACCATGAAATGGGGTCAGGAGTCAAGTCGGACCCGTGCTGGAGCCAAGCGTAACTTATTTATAGTTGTCCGTGCGACGATGGCGACGCAATTTATCGTCATTAGCGCTGGTCGCAGGCGAAATTTTCACTTGAAATTTTCACGAGCTGAAATGAAAATGCCTGCGGTCTTGTTGGTCCGGCCAGTGGTTCGGATGGGGCCTGGCTGGGCCAGTGTTTCGGCCGGGTGTTTGGTCCCTTCTGCCTTTGTTAATTATGGCAGCACCGAATAGACCAGGAGCAGACGTAATAACAGCAGCAGGACCAGGCACATAACCAGAAATCAACTGAGGAAAGGAGGAGATGAGAACGAGACGACAACGACACGACGACGACATCGGTAATGATGATTACTGACGGTTTTAAATCATTCGCTAATTATTGCAATTGTTGCTCTCCTTCTCCTCAGATTGCCTCAGGGCAAGTGTCCCCGTGACACTTGCCACTGGCTGCCCCCTCAGCCGAATAATTGATGACGGGCCAAAGGACAAAAACTGGTAATCAAATTCCGAAAGAGTTGATTCCCTTTCTGAGATATACGAGTGCCTGCACACCACACAAATATTTTCACATTTTGCTTTGTGGAGGGGAAAAAGTATTGCCCAAAGTAATCACAGGCAATTGCACAGAGGGGAGTGGGCAAGGGCAAATGGAGGGAGCCTCGAATACCCACAGCAATCAACCTAATTTATTATACACATCCATCCGAACTCGAACCCTTTTGAAAACCACATCGATTGCTCGCCCCAGCGATGACGATGACTGTCATTCATGAATGTTATGAATGTTAATAATTTCAATTGCCATTTTGTGCAGAGTGAACAATGCAACAGCCAACAGAGAGCAGCCAGCAGACAGCAGCCGCAGTTGTGGCTGGCAACCCTGGCTGCGGTTTTTAGTTTTTGTATCTGTTTCTCGGTTACTTTGAAGCCCTTGAGCCTTGCTGAAAAACAATTTAAATTAGTCATATTTTTGTGCTGTTTGCGGTTTATCGAAAACAGGATGCATTTCTTTTTGAAATGCAACTAAGGTGTGTGGGTGTCAACACTACTAGCTCGAGTATATTTTGATGCAGACAAACGTATATTAAAGGTGGCCTAAAGGTGACAGCGGACAGTTCCTATAACAATGACATCAGTTCTTGCCACAAAATCTCATTCGAAATTTGAATACATTTAGAAATGCTCCTTGATTTGATATTCGTAACCAGTTCGAATTGATTCTGAAAACTATACGAATTAATGCCATCAAATTGTTGTATTTGTACTCCTTTTGTTGGAACAAAGATCAGGGCCAACACGTGTCCTGCCCACTGCCCACTGCCCACTGCCCACTCCCACTGCCTCTACTACTAGTACAAGTGCCACGCGCCGTGCTGGCTAATGCCCACACATTGGCACATACGTGAGCCCACGGACAGACAAACAACTCATTTCGCTCAGTGAACTCAACAATAAGCATAAAAACATTCATCACTGATTCACTACGTGATCTGGTTTGTCAATCATGTATGATGGCCTAGGTGGAATGTGGAATGTGCGCCCAGAGATGGGACCGTCAGGCAGGCGAGTTGGTTGGTGATGATGACGATATGAGTGCTGCTGCTGTTGATGATGATGATGAATATATGAGTGCTGCTGATTGAATATCAAAAGGAATACCTACCTTCTGCACTCGTTGTTGGGTTTCTTTTAACACTTTTCGAGCTCGTTTCAGGATTCCTTTAACACTTTTCGTGCTCGTTTCCGGCTTCATTTTTCCCAGTCAGCGCCCACCCGCTATACATATGTGTGAGCATATTTTTTGCGCTAGTCAACTGTCAGACTTTCGTTGTGCCAGCATAAAATGTTAAAATAATGTGCCGCACAGACACACATAGACAGCGGGCCGTCTGATTTGGGCAATGTTTCTCTCTCTATTCGCTTTACCTTTCAGCTTGGGTTCATATTCGGGTTCCGCATGCTCATCACAGTGCCCCAATTTCATGCCACTTCTCCAGACATCTCCCTAGTCCCCCTTTCACCAGTAACATTATCTCCCATTTGTCGCATACAATCTGCTTGCCTTTTCCTTTTATTTTCCCCTCTAGTTTCTTCGCCATGTTTTTGCTGTTGTTATAGCTATTTCCGGTGACAGTGTAATATCGTAATATGCTTATGTCTCTGTCCTCTCTGCCGCCTCCTGCCCTCCTGTGTCTGTATGTCTGACTGTCTGTCAGCCTTAGGGAGAAACTCCCTCGTGGA